AATTCTAATTTGTTTGGATTTAATTAGATTTTATTAGAATGAACCAAGACCTCCAGTTTATCATTATCACATTCAACATTCTCCTAATTTAAGGTTTTGTTTGTTGGTTATTAATTCCATATTGTTTATGGGGGTTGTGTGAGTTGGCTTTTCTAATTTATTGCCACTTCTGGTTTGTAAGGTTTGTAAACCATTTCAGGTAAAACCTGTTAAAAGTGACTGTATACTCGTACTGAGAGCGCTAAAATGTTTATATTGAGAGGTGGTGTCCATATTGAGAGGTATATTGAATATTATTCACATTAAGAGGTGTTCATATTGAGAAGGTGAGGTGTTTTTATGGAGAAGTGTTCATATTAAGAGGTATTATATTCATATTGAGAGGTATTTGATTTATTTCATATATTGAAATGTGTTCACATAATGAAGTGTTCATATTGAGAAGATGAGGTCTTTTCATTGAGAAGTGTTCATATTAAGAGGTATAATATTCATATTGAGAGGTATTTGATTTATTTCATATATTGAAATGTGTTCACATAATGAAGTGTTCATATTGAGATTTGTTTACATTCTGAGGTTTTTGTTTCAAATGGTAGTTATTAATGAAATATAATCAATAATGAAAAAGTGTTGATATTTAAAGATGTTCACCTTAAATAGGTAAACTCCATTTACAACTCCATGTACCTATAGGAAGTTTTATTACGAACGAATCTTGAAGCAGTAATTGAGTTGTTCCCAGTTGTTTTGAGTATTGGTGCCTATTGAGATGCAAACACTTGCACAACAGCTAGTCAGTGAAGTGTTTTATTGAAATTCACAGCACTGATAAGAAAGAAAAATATATAAATGTAAGGAGGAATTTCTAGCCTCTAATAAAGATCCTGCAATTGAGAGTTGAGAGGACCCTATACACAGTACATTGGCATTATTGGCCTTTTTGACTTTTAAAGTGTATGCTTGATAAAAAGATAGAGCGATTTTTTTCCTTTTTCCTATCGAACAGATTTGTCTCATTATCTCTACATAGTAAGATTAAGGTACTGATAGATTTATGTAAGTTTGTACAATATTTGGAGGAGTCTGTCTGGCTTTTGGAAGTATTTCTGTCTTATTAGTATGGTAAATATCAATGTATCATCTTCTAAGCCCCAGAGAAAGCATATACATGGACAAGAATATGAGATGTAGCTCTATAAGTATTACTAATTGGAAACCTATATACAGAGTGAGTGAAAAAATGCAACTCACCTTACTGTGAAGAACTTTGATATGTACATATGATGTATATGTGAATGTTCATTTTTCTATTGATATGTGAAGTTCTTTCTGATTTCTGACACCAGAGAAAGTTGCATTGTTGAGCGCGCGACAACTTCTCGCAACTTTCAGTACAGAGCGCAACTTTTACAAATCTGCGCAACTTAACGCAATTTTAACACTTCAGTTCGTTTACCAGTCAATATCTATTGTAAATTCCTTCCACTCAAAATCAGAATTAAACAATTTTTTCGAGAGCTAGATTATGGACATGAATATGAAGCAATTTTTGGTGACTGTTAATGAGAGAGCCTCCAGACCACAGGGCTTTTACATGGCGCAACTTTTTGCAACCTTTGTTATTTTTAGATCACAACTTTTGCATACCCATCCCACAACTTTTTGAGAAAAAAATTGCAACATTCTCTGGTCTCAGTGATTTGAATAGGTGCAATGACATAGCAGTCAGTATCTTTTAATGTCTGAATGGAAGTAGTTGTATCTCAACGAGGCTGACAATCATTTTCCAATTTAGATCTTATTAACGTATACATAAAAATATTGGGTGAGACTTGAGATAATGTATGCGGCGCCAGTCAAAATTGAAACTTCTGATTGGGTTCGAAGCCGAGATGCCCGGATATGCCCCAGCAAAAGCCGGAATTCACGTGATTTTTCACGAAGAAGGGGCGGAGTTTAAGCGAGATCCATCGAGACTTCTCCATTTAAGGAAAGTGTCAGTCCGCTTATAACTCCGCCTTTTTGCCCTTAAATGGAGAATGCCATTTTCGAAGGGGTCCTTTTTAGGGGAGATTTTCATCGTTTTTTTCCTAGATCTTTGACGTTTATGGAGTTATTTCAACCATTCTTTGTCAGTGTACACCTCTCGTTTAATACAAAATATATTTGATATGATGAGGATCACGGTTTTACATTTTTAATCTTTTTGGAGTTTAAGTTATTAGATTTTTTTAATTAGGATATGATTGGTGATATTGAAATTAGTTACTATCAAGTTCTGTTTATTTAGGGCTTCATTACTGTATCTTTAGGGCAAGAAATAAAACATTTAAGGGATGGTGTTATTTTTTATCTTGTCAATCAAAAATGTCTGAACTTGAAATGATGAAATCGATATATTTTCGATAAGGAAATTATTGCTTTTACCAGCTGCATCTTAGGCTTAGATACCAGAGATTTCTTCTTCTGATTTTATGATTTGACATATACAATGCATTTTGTTATCTGTATTCTCAGCTTCTTCAAATGTTGCTCCTTGTGTTTGTTGCTATTCATATTGGGAATATTGTTCTGTCATATTCAATATAAGCTGAAAGATATATGTAAGCGTATGTATACTGCACTTTGTGGATTGCTTACAGTTGGCACTGGCCTTGATTTAAATTGGATTTCTTTAAATAGTTCTGCCATTTGCCAAAGCAATGGGAACCTAAATTCCTGGTTTCTGGAGTTTAGTCCTAAGGAATTTGTGGATCCATTGCAAATGGAATACAATCTCTGCCATTGGCAAAATATAATACACAATTAAAGGTGTGAACATTGTGTTTGAAATCAGATTCAGTTTATTTTTCATATTTAGTTTCTATCTAATCTCAGATAATATAAGATAAATAAATATTTCTTGTATATGTGTGAGAGGAATATAAGATGTTGATGAATATTTTATCCTCTTAGATATCTGGCTTAAACTCAAGTAGATTCAAGTATCAGGCCCGTAGCCAGGGGGGTTCGATAGGTTCGAGTGAACCCCCCCCCACGGCCAAAAATTCTTTCAAAATCATGCAGTTTTTCATCATTTTCTGGGCACCTTTTAAGTGACTTTAGCCATTTTTGGACCAAAATTGTCAAAAGTGAACGCCCCTGGAATTTTTCAAAAAGTGACTCCCCCTTGGCAAATCCTGGCTACGGGCCTGAGTATTCTCGATAACTTATGCCTGTTGATGTTCAGGAAAGCTTTGGAATAGATATGACATTTTGGAGGATGACTTAATAATGCCTTTAAACATCCTGCAATAATGAATTTCTCTGTAAAAGTTCAACAATTCTATACATGGTCAAGTTAAAAATCATTAATTTTTTTCCTTTTTTTCAATGCAAGTGAGCCATGCCATGCATCATTGCCATGCAGCTGCATTATCACACTGAATTATTTTACAAGACAGGATGTTTTTAGTCCAGTTGTGATTCTTATATCAGTGCAATATGAAGTTATTGTGATGAGGTCATATTAGGACATCTGTATTTGTCAGAAAACACTAGAATAAATATGATTAAAGGGCTGGAGGTTCACATAGTTGCTCTGTAATATGTTCTCATTTCATCACTACAAATGTATATTGTAACATTTAGTTAGTTTGAGCATTGTGAGATGTAAAATGAGAAAAGGCAGTAGAATAAAGATGAATTTGTGTCAGTGCACTGAGTCTTGCACCAAGCCCTCACACTGTACATACACACTCCCAATTTAAAATTCAGAAATGAATAGCGGGAGGGGGAACAATTCAGAAATATGCAAGACCGGTACATGCATATCGACATGGAGTGAAATTAGAAATATTCGTAAGCTTGTTCTAAGTGAGGGATGCAGGCAGCTAGGTGTCAAATCACTTTAAAAATACAAGAACATTTGAGATTAGAATTGTTGAAGAAAGGAAACAGTCAAGTGCAAACATCTATAGTTATTAAAGGTGCAATCTAACATTGATGGCAATCTTTTCAAAAGTTATCACAATTTAAACTTTTTGGGCTGATTCTTTTTAATTTCTGCATATTAATTCTATATTAAGCCTGTTTGACTGAAATATCACTGATGTTTTTTTATTGAATACATTTGGTTGGTAAAAAGCAATTTTCAGCTTATGTTTAACAGATTGTACCTTTAAGACAATTGTTTCTGTAGATTGGGTTTCAATGGAACTGATACTGCAATAAATCCTGTAACATTATGTTTAAAATGAAATCTAAACCTGACAATTCTGGCAATCTGTCTTCATCAAATTCTGACCTTGGTATATGCTAGTACTTGCACCCATATCATAAGTATCATTGCTTATACAATTAAAACACCATGTAATGTCAAAGTTTTTCAAAACATAAACAGTGTCAGGTTTCATGTTAAGCATCCCAGTGCAGTTGGTTCATAATAATAGAAGGAGTTTGAGAAGGTTGAAGCATCAGTAAACATCATTTGGGAAATTGTAGGAGGATTAGCTGTATGTGGTTATTTCACCCACTTCACTTGAGATAATCCATTGATTAATATGGAAAATACTTAATACTCAAGTGAGCAAGATCCTTTTGATTTTAGGAAAATGGACCATTTTACTGGAACACAGGACATTGAATCACAGGCTGAGCTAATAGATTGATTATATAACCCGAGTGATTAAACAACAAATGAACTTATCCCGGAATATAAATCAAGACAAGGGTTAGAAATACTAACTTTGAACATTCTTGTTTGTTACGGATCTACCAAAACATTGTTTTGTACAGCACATTTCTCTGTTGTCAAAGAAGTATGTACCTAGAGGGCGAAGAATGATACATTGTTGAGGATTGGTCAATCACATATCCTATGTTAACATCCTCTGAACTGACTTCTGAATCTAATTAGAGAGCGTAAATGAAACCCCTGTTATGTAAGTGATATATGAAAACAAAGGAAATAGCTGTTGATGGCTGTGAAACATTTTAATAAACAGAAACAGTTTATTGGGATTGTCTTGGAATATAAACGATTAGACTTTACCTTGATAACCATTCCTGATTGGTTAATTCTAGAATGGATAGCGAACCATTTGACAGACACAGGAGGCTCTCATTAACGAGAAAATATACAGCGAGAAGACGATCAGATATGATTGTATACCGTGACAAAAATGAAAATGAGCAGCCCAAAAAGAGTGTTGAATCTCCCGAGGGGATATTACTAAATGGACACGACACTGAGGAAAAGGTTTATCATTTCATGAGACCCTTGATTATTGAGCCCAAACCAAATGAAAATGGTCAGAGTGGCTCTAGAAGAGGAAGCATCTCTAGTATGACAAGCAATAGGAGCTCTAGAGAATTCAGTAAATCTCCTTCTAGATCCCCGAGTAGGTCCAGCATATGTTCAAAATCAGTCCGTTTCGAAGAGGACGAAGTTGTCAAAGTAAATACTCGTGATTCCAAAACTTACCGTCGCAGTGGCTCCAGGAAGCCTCAAAGAGCATATAAAAAATCTCATTCTCATACAAATATTTTACCAGTTCAGGAAAATGACACTCACAAGTTGAGTCCGGTGCAGAATTTTAAGAATAGTAGAAGTAGTACATTGCCAAGGGTGGTTACCCGAACCAGGACATCACTATTAGACAATATATCTGAGGAGTCAGATGAAGATCGAAGATTCCGTCGAAGATCTACTGGCTCAAGTTGGGAGCGCACTTTGAGGAAAATGAACATATGGGAAGAACCATATAATCGCAAATTAAAAGTATGTCAATTGTGTGATATAGTTTTTGATAGTACAAGCATGTTGATTCAAGTTTCACTTGATTTGTATTTAAAATTGCATCGAGTTACAGGTGACAAAAAATTGGATGTCAAAATACCTACCCTGGGAACAACCTAGTTCAGTCAATTTGTCTACATTTGCCAAATTTAGTCAAAATTCCTGTTGCTGGCAATATGTATTTCAAAGTGCCTACTCCTGGGACAAAGTGCTCTGTCAAAATCCCCCCCCCCCCTTAGAGAATACTACATGTCAAATTCCTTATCCTTCCTGCATTGAGGGGGTTAGATTCATGCAAATCTTAATGGTACTTTAGTAGATGCATCTGTATTGTCAATATTTACAAGCGTAACACTGTACTCAATATTTACTAAAATGTCATCAATAACTATAATTTTAATCAAATTTTACCAAATATTAGTCTACTCATAAACTTGATGTTTGCGTATACATTGTCATTGTTAAGATGTGTAAGTATTTATCTATGGTTTCATTAATACTTTTGATGAAAACTGTTTTTATTTTAATCGACATTTATCGACTAAAATCACAATACTGGTCCAATAGATGTTGTCCCCTTTAATCACGGGGTACCATCGAATAATTTTGGCAACGTACCGGAGAACGACATTTTACTAAGAAATGGCAATAATTTAGCACAATATATTTTTTAACTAGAGTTCTATTTTGATTTTGACAAAAGTAAGTATTCCATGCAATAACTATTTCATTCATGAGTTTGTAGGAATTCTGTTGGAACCCAGTTCTGATCAAGTACGAAGTTATTGAAATCAGCGCAGACGGACTTTACTCCGAAAGATGGTTTTTCGATTATAACTTTTCACAACATTTAAGTATAGACTTTTGAAAAAAGTACAGAATAGTCCTTATACTTTTGAATAATTCTGTTATTTCTGATTCACACGACTCTGATTTGTTTAATTAAAAAAAAGTTTTAAAAATATTACTTAGGAACGTAACCGGAGCTGGGAACGTAACCGGAGCAGATCAGTTGAATTATTTAATCAAAAAAATTAAAATATATGATTTAAAGCACATATACTAATTTAAAAACATACGGGATTGTTCGAATGCGTATTTATTAATATATATGCTTTAAATCATATATTTTTTTTTTTTAAAATTATATAATTCAACTGATCTGCTCCGGTTACGTTCCCAGCTCCGGTTACGTTCCTAAGTAATATTTTTAAAACTTTTTTTTTAATTAAACAAATCAGAGTCGTGTGAATCAGAAATAACAGAATTATTCAATAGTATAAGGACTATTCTGTACTTTCTTCAAAAGTCTATACTTAAATGTTGTAAAAAGTTATAATCGAAAAACCATCTTTCGGAGTAAAGTCCGACTGCGCCGATTTCAATAACTTCGTACTTGATCAGAACTGGGTTCCAACAGAATTCCTACAAACTCATGAATGAAATAGCCATTGCATGGAATACTTACTTTTGTCAAAATCAAAGTAGAACTCTAGTTAAAAAATATATTGTGCTAAATTATTGCCATTTCTTAGTAAAATGTCGTTCTCCGGTACGATGCCAAAATTATTCGATGGTACCCCGTGTTAATAAACTTGAGTTCTTCCTCTATTTATTTACCTGTATACTGGTACATATGAATTATAACTCATCACTTCTTTGGATACTCAAATTATTACTCAAAAATGAACCATAAAAACTAAATACTCAAATTATACCTACATTTATATTCAATGTTTACTTGTCTGCTTCCAGGATGAAGGTGTCAAGTTTTTCAAAGAGGAGAGAGAAGAGGGGGCAATCTACAATATTTACCTGAAAAAAGTCCACTACAAAACATTCCCTGATGTAAGTACAGCTAAGTATACCTGTGCATATATGTGTTCCATTTTCAAAAAGGGTATGTGTTAAATGTACATATACGCAATGGGGAATGGTGACATATTGTTGTTATATAGGCAATGCTTTTTATGACCATCATTTGGTATTACTGTTATTGTTTGGTTTTGATGTTCAGTGATGTGAGTATAAGTTTGTAACAATTTGTCACACTTTCTCAAAATATCCCCTCTGTTGGTAAAGTGTTGCATGATACATTAATTATCTCTCCATACTACCAAACCTGTGCATTATATAATACCCCCTCCCCCGGATTCACTGCCATATACTCATAAAAATTTTATGGCTGCTAGAAATAATGTTATGAGTTTCACACATATACATATCTATACATGTTCTTGAGTATTTTTTGGTTGGGTTAAGTACTTTGATAAAAATTAGCAAGTTTGCCCCTTTCCATTTTTGTCTTACTTTGGTTGATTAGTCTTGCATAAAACACCATATACTCCCATTCTTATGCTCCATTGATTCCGAGCTGGAGAATAGGGATTAGATTCAAGACTTTTGGTTGATGTTCTGCAAAATTGAAAATATTAGGTTAGTTTCACACATGGCATGTACTCTAGATTCCTGGTACACAGTTTATTTATTTCTCACATTTCAGTAGAGGTAAATAAAGCATTCATCATATGCCTGGCTTTCTTATATATGAGATACATATGCCAGCAAATCATATGTTATACTTCAAATACATTCATCACTCTTCTCAATGTACCACCTTATGTTATGTAGTACCCTTTTCAAGCGGTTGACTTCATCTCACAGCTTCATCTTCAGTTATTGGTACTGCTAGCCTCTGGATCTCAGGATATTGTTGATATAAGCCAGGTGAAAATATGCTTTGGCTGTATAGCCTGGAGTTGTTTTAGGAGGTTTAGATATAGGATTTATCCTGGAAGGTTTGGTGTGGGTTTGATTCTGGGATGAATTGACAAGGGATTTAACCTGGGAGAAGTAAATGGATATTTATCCTTGGAGGTTTGAATTTGAGATTTATCCTCACACAATTTCTCATTTTCAATATTTTTGTTGGGAAGAAATAACTAGATATAGGATTTATCCTTGAAGGTTTGGATATGCGATTTTTCCTGGGAGAAATAACTTTACTGGATATGGGATTTATCTTTTGAGATTTAGATATGAGATTTATCACACACATGCAATGAGAATTGTTTGTATCTCAAGCTATTCTACATATTAAATATGATTACTTTCCTCACTCTTTATGTGTTATCTTTCTTAGATCTTACTTTATAGAAGACCATATAATCTTAATTGAAATCGACAACTTTGGAGCATTCATATCTTCACTGTTTACTTGAAGTTTTGCAAGAGATTAATTGTATTTTTGCTAGAAAGGGTTCTCATGCAATCTCAACATATGTAAGATATGTGTGAAATGTTCACCATTTAACAGTTTATCATTTGGAGCCTTAATTATTGCAAACAAAAATAATTACTCAAGAACATAACATCAACAATACTAGTCTTTTCTATTATTAATGAACATATTGTAAAATTCTTGACACTTTAATTTTGTATCAGAGGATATGGTTCTGAATCATTTGTATTTAAATGATCTTTTATCAATGATCCAATGATTAAGCTCATCAATGATTCATCTGCTGGAGCAATCAACTTTTGGATCATATGATCTGTTTAAGGATCTATGAACCATCTATACTTGGCCATGTGATGATGATTTATATTGGATCTCATGATCTTATTTTAGATGATCTGATCTATATTAGATCCTGTGATCTTATTATCTCTGTATAATTCTGGAATCTTATATTTATCTGGGTTCGAATTATGACCTATGTCAGATCCTATAATCTTATTCCGACCTTTATTTGATCTTGTCCTTAATATGATAATCTATCTGATACTATGATCGCTTACTGGATCATTGATCACCTGTAATCTCTCTGAGGTTTCACATTTGAGGTTGATGCTCCTGTTATTGCCAGGTAGTAGCTCTATTTATAATCTACAGGTTATTCTGCCTTCAGAACATGGCAACAATTTGTACTCATGGCTAAGGGCATCTAAGCCTCTATTGAGTGATCATGTATAAACATTATCACAATGATTGATCAGTTGTAAAAAGACCACTGATATGATCTAACTTCTTTAACATTTGAGCTCGGAAAATAAAACCAATTTGAACCAGTACTGGTTTCTCTCTTCTGTACATAATACATGTACATACATATTGTGAATTCTCTATGAATTGCCATTAATAACCATTTATCTATTTTTATTCTCTATAATGTTATAAATACTTTGCTTTAATTCATGTGTAAGTGAAATTATATTGAAGAATGAAGGATATCATCTAGAATTCTGTCTTCTGTATTGTAAGTATGCCCTTTTACCACCATGAGTTTTACCTTTGAGGCTATAATTTAATCAGACTTTCTGGCTGTAGACTTGTTTCCTTCTCATTGAACGACCAACAGGTGAGAATCCTGCAGAATCTATATTAAACTCAATAGTATATTATGATCTTGATCCACATTCAGTAGCACATCTGAATTGAATTGAATGCCAAATGAAATGATAATAGATTATTTGGTGGTGTAACTGGTATCCTGGTGATAAAGAGAGTTGAGAATATTGCATTCAGTTTTGGAAGGTTTGTTAGTTAGCACATGCAGGTGAAGAGGTACAAAACTGTGGCGTAATTGTTCAACACTCTATTAGGCTCTATCTATACAGTCTACCTGGTAGACGTCACTCTGATAGATGTGGTGCCTGCATATGCTGTGTCTTCAGTAACCTCCCAAGATCTTAACTATATTCAGGTGTAACTATAGTATTGCGTTTAAAACAAGTTGTATAGTGTGATAAATCAAGATATGAGGATAACATATCACATAAGGGGAAGCTGATTATGTTAAAGAATCTTGTCATTGTCATTTTCCATTTTTACAAAGGCCCCTCACGAAGTGGGCGGTACCTTCATACTATGGACTGGGCTTGGACCATTCACATGACCTAAGTCCCGCCCTTAGCCTATATGGCAAATTATCAAGACAACTGCCAAGTCATCAGATGGTGTGATTGTGATTTGAAGATATGATGTATCGCATACACTATGACGTCAGTCACATATATATCCATCGAGCAACTATAAACAAACTAATTATCATAATGTCGTCATCACTGTTGATTCTACATTCATACGTGACATCAGTAACATATTACCTAAACAACAAAACAAGCATTTAGTTTGTTCTCTGTGGTATCTTCTTAAAAAGTGGATCAGTTTTCTCCAGAGCATATGGCCCCACATGGCCTTCGTATTTCTCTAGTGAAATTCAGTGGATTAGTTGTTTGAATCTTCCCTGAATATGGAAAAATGGAAATAAAAAAAAGTAAGTGTAAGATCATTTCTTAGCAGACGGTTTGAACCTGCTTTGATTTTAAATCACTGGTCTGTGGATCACATCTATTTCTGTTTCACAACTACAGTAGCAATGCGACCAGAAAGAAAATTCTTGGTAGAGTAGAAGGATGCAAGCTCTCATATTTGCTTTACCTAGAAAAATGTAGATGTTTTGTACAGTTAAATACCAAAATTCCCAATTTCAAAATCAAATATTTGGTAACATGTCATCCTTCAAGATCGGTCATTCACTGCTTTCATAGCAGCTGATGATGTAATGCAATGAATTTCTCATGGGCCATGGATGATAACATGTAGCAAATTTCATTGGTGAGACTTTTACTTTTCCAGTTAGCATAAATGGCATTGAACTCTAATCACAACAGAACATTTCCAGTGTAACAGTTGTACAAATTACAGGTACAAGATCTTGGATTAAGTATTTTCACTTTGTAAGTCATAATAAATTACACTACCAGAAAGGAGTAGATTCTTTCTACAGATCTGTTAATATTCAACAACCTCCTGTGTTGCTATTACAACCTTCATGATTAAGAAAACATTTATTCTTTGATGAAGAAACATTGCCCCACATAGCCTGCAAATGGGAAGATTTTTGCATCAAGATGCTGAAGAAATTATCGCTCTAGAAATTAATGATCATGATGCCTAGCAGATTGCAAAAGATGCTTGGGAAATTTGGGTCCATGATGAATAGATAATATTGAGACAAGCATTTTTCCCTTATCAAAGTACTATCATAATGAAGAGGGAATTTTGCAATTAACACCCCATATAGGTATGCATTTACATGTACTTGAAATTTCCTGAGGAGTTTCTGATCAGCCAGATGTTCAGGTGTTCGGGTTGTATATTCTCATATAACATAGTTGAAAGCAGCTTTAAACAAAATAGCAACTTGGCATATATCTCAAAGATCAAATCTGATATACAGTTTGTAAATTAGTAGTTTTCATCAAATATCCTCTATTGATAGATTTGTTAGAATTTGAGAGAAGAAATTGACCCTTCAGACTTTTTTGCATCATTGTAACGTTTTGTTTTCCTGTCAAGTATGGTTTCCAGTTTCTTTGTGTTGAACATCTCAGTAAGAGCCTGGGTGAGTGAAACACCATGAGAGTAAAGATGTTGTACCTTTCAAGGTGAAATCCCAAGATCTGATTAGCCAGATGTTAGATGGGCCTTCAATCACTGGTAGATCTTAATAGCTGTATGGTTTTACATCCTTCCAAGAGATGTTTGATTATGAATGTGGGAGTATACATGGAATATGAAACCTGAAAATAAACCAAATATTGTTTCTTTTGTGTCAGGGTGCTCTGAAGATGTCATATATAACATTTTCCAAAATTGATGAGAATGGTAGCTTTCTACCTTCCCAAAATTGCCTGTTATTGAAATATTGATGATCTGAGCGTAATTGATATGAGGATGATATATGTTATTATAAGTTTATTGACTGTGTTGCACTGTTATGTTTAATGACATTGAATGCTGTGATAATAAATAAATGCAGTTCATTAAATAAATATTATTTTGTTTAATTTAAGTTCAGGCTTATATTAAAAATTGCATTGATGTAATATAATACTCTAGCACTTTTTAATTTTTTTAAACATGCATGTTATATGAAAATATATATATAAATATGCATGAGAATAGAAGAATACTGTAGATAATAAATAATCATTAACAAGATTATAATTGTCAAATGATAATAATCAACATAGATACCCCTAACATGAATTATAAATTGATAAAATCTTACAATGCTGTACTAACGAGTCGGTGAAAGATGGAATGAACTGAATCTATTATTTCATGACCCTTCATATAAATTACAATGGACTCTTGGGGCATTTTTGAATGAGTTGTGGTTCATGGTTTATGAAGTCAGTAGTTTTTCAATGTCATTATTGGAAAGAAAATCAATTGAACTTCACAGACTGTAGTGATCTATGATTTATCATGAATGTGAGAGGATGCTGCAAGTCTAAGATCCGATTTACCGATGGTCAGATCTAAGAACCTACACATTCATGAGAGTAAAGTATTCAAAATTGGTCTCAAGAGTCAAATGTTTGTGATGTTGTACACAGCATAAACAATAAGCTCTTTAAATACCCATATGAAAATACTTGAGTTCACCCATCTTTGCTGACGTTGCATGTTTCTATTGTTAGGAGACTCCCGGGGATCCAATCAGTCAAGTCGGAGAATCTTCCTTCTACGTTGAGGTATGCAATGACATCTATTTCGTGGAAATATGTAAAACGTAAAGTAAAACCTGTAGAGGATTAACACCTTTGGAGTTTACAATGGAAGACGTTTCTTCAGGGAGAAGTGTTCAACTTTGTAGGCTTTACTACATGCTATCAAATTGGGAGTTATTATAAACATAAGATGCATTTTGATCCATGTAATTACACAACTAATTTAGATTAAACTCTGCTTTCTATTATTAACATTTCAATTTTTGGTTATTTTTTATTTATTTATCATTTATTTACCTTTTTATAATTTGCTGAAATATATATAAATACTAATTACTGATATATACTGGCAGCATCACATCTGATAAAATGCCTGGTTGCATAAATGTGCACATAAACATTAAATGCATAATAATGTGCATTGGCATATATAAAATTTGATTATAACCTTAAATTTCAGGTGAAGGCAATATGCCACATTATAGGGTCAATGCATGCTAGTTTTAATGAATTCAGATACAAATTGTAATCATTCCAAGAGCTAAAAAATCATTCTTTGAATTCAATTGATATGTGCTATACATCATGCATTCCTCAAAATGATTTATTATATCATCTAGGTAACCTAGGACTATTTCTTAGATGTAAAATATATGCAATCGCAAATTAATGAACAATATGGCAGATTTTTGAGTATTTACTTACTCTCGGGGTAAAAGTACACATACCTTATAAATCCTTAGGGTGCAGGCAGTGGTTGGTAAGAATTAACAACAAATCAACAAAATGGGTCTAATGTATTCATTATGAGGAATTCATCAGCTATGTCAGCTCTATTGTGACCTCATAATTACCTACTATATCTGTGACCTCACAATTTGACTTTGACTGTGACCTCATGAATTGATCAATTTGACTTTGACGGTGACCTCATGAATTGATTGTGACAATATCACTTTGCAGGCTGAGTCTGATGAGAAAGTGTCGCATCTGGCATGGCGTATGGAACGTATCCGAGCGATCAAATGTGGCAGCTTGGACAAACTTGTAGAGTGTCTAGTTGATGAGAATGGGGAATTAGACTCGACATATGTCAGTATATTCCTCTCAACATATCGGGGATTTGCCAGTGCTAAACAAGTCCTTAATATCATGTGTGAAAGGTGAGTGGACAATGTAATTGTGTCCTGTTGTTAACATATGGAAATGTAGATGTTAATTTCATAGGTAGGTATCGGGGAGAGTGTAACATGTTGCTTTTTGAATAATTCAAGGGAAACACTAACTGAACCCTTTAAAATGTTGCTATATTAGGGGTTGTTAAAGAGACATTAACTTAGTTTTTCCTGAACTGTTGGCATTTTTAACAGCATTCTTAAGTTTTCCGTTTTAGTCTGAATTGATTGCAATTATATAAGACCTCAAAGGAAGTATATAGTTTTTTTGACCACCCTTTACATTTTGAATTCTTCATTTAGACAAGGAGAAAAGCCCATATGCAAATTAGATTATTTATTATTGTCTGCAGTCACATCAGCTGTGATATTAATTTAAGGAAGAATCCTAAAAATTAAAACATTCTGCATCTTAGTCTTGAATAATCAACTGGTTAATCAAGTTGAAATAGGTGATGCAAAGAGATAGCTGGCCACAGAGCGTGTTACTTGAAGGTTGAGCTAAACTCCGAAGTCAGCTTGATCTCATACTGATACGCAATAAGATTCTGAAGTTTTGAGGGATACTAAAATTCCAGCGAGTTATAACTTCATTTCGCTTTAAAATACAATTTTCAGCCCTGGAAAGAAGTAATACTGATATACTAATAAATATAGATTACTTCAAATTTGAGACATAAATATACAAATATATTTGGGGTTCATTTGTAAAAAAGCAAGATAAGACATTCTAACTTGTGGAGAAATTCCAGAAATTTTGATAGTTAATTTAAACCTTATAGAGAACTAATAAGAGAAAGTTATAGGGTGTTTACAATGATGAGTATATACCTATTGACTCAGAATTGAACTGTTTTAATGGTGTTATCTTAAAAAGATAAGGAAATATTATTTCTCCTTCATTATTCAGTTGTTTTTCAGCAGGCAAGCCTTTCATCTTTATAACCTCTGTATCTTAGATTTGTGCATCATATTTTACTGCTAAAAGATTCTCTACCTAAGTAGCTCAGAGTGTAACAGGTTGTTTTTTCATCATATTATGAAAAGAAAGAGTTTTGTTGAAAATTTAAAGACACTTAACTTATTGGAATATTTTGGGACATTTTAGGCATATCAGTTGTACTAAGAATGACATTAGGAATGTTATTTTCAACTCTTAATGCTGAGTACTCGCCAATCCACAAACAATTCACCATGACCAAATTATTGTAATAAAACATTTACATGAAATAGTTATTTAAATATTACATGTCTACTGTCGTAAAATCTACCCACTTTACCTTAAAATATTCCTGTATATACTGTATGTTTGTAACTGGTGTAAAATATACAAATGAAATAATCTTAAAATATATGAAATATCAGTGTATTGTATTTCCAGATATAAATGTGTGTCATCAGATAAGCACATGAGGGAGTCAATTAGGGAGCTCAATAAAAAGTAAGTACTAGAGTAAAACTTGTTTAATACAAGCGCCACAATGGCAGACTAGTCAAAAGTGTTCACTTTGTAGGTTAGGGTTTTTTCAACAATTGTAATCTTTGGCCAATTTTGAGATATGGGACCATGTGGCTTGGTTCATGGAAAAATAGGAAAGATACTCTTGGTAATGTTCACATTGAGAGGCATTCAGATGGTGAGGTATTCTGGTATACAAGTTTTACTGTGTTGTTTTCTCAATTTATTCATTTGAAAAAGTCTACCGTTTTACATATATTTTTATGTTACCACCACTATAGTCTACATGTGCCAACTGCACCAGTTGGAGTTTGATGTTCAGCATTTGTAACAAATGGAAGGTGGTGACATTCGTTAATGCCTTGCTATAATATACTATAAATACTTAACATCAATACTTCAAATGCTCAGTTCAAATTATCTTATTAGACAGAATGATATGTTGCAATAGAATGACTTAAAACATGTCTTCTTTAATCGTGATTTTAAGGGTTAGTTCTAGAAAATAGTTGCCTAGCCATTTGTACTATATGTATAACTCTATGTATTGTTCATGTTTCATTGTAGATCTCTGCGATCTGTACTGTCGGTATGGCTAGATACTTACTCAGAGGATTTCAAGGAACCCCCAAACTACCCCTGTCTCAACGCACTTTACAAGTTTACCTCTAAGTACATGCCAGATAATGACCTTGCCCTCAGAGTCAGACACAGAATTGATAAGTTTAAAAAAGAGGAGGAAAATGGCAGTGCAATTACAGGTGAGTAAAGAAAATATGTTGAAATTTTCTTGGAACAGTTTTATCAACTTATACCCAGTGTTCCTCCTTCCCTTTTCAACCTGCATCTCCAAGGTCCATTCTGTTTCCCTCAATCTCTCGTATAACACATGCTCTGTGTCTCTATCCCTCTTCCCCTGTCTGTCTTTTGTTTATCCTGTTCCATGTCTGTTCATTCCTTTCTCCTGTCAGGCCCATAGCCAAGATTTGCCAAGGGGGGGGGGTCAGTTTTCCAAAATTTCCAGGGGGGTTCACATTTGACAATTTTGGCTCAAAATTTTGGCTCAAAATGTTGAAAAACTGCATGATTTTGAAAGAATTTTTGGCTGGGGGGGGGTTTCTCCCGAACCCTGCGAACCCCCCTAGCTACGGGCCTGCCTATTACCAATTCAGTCATCTCTCTCCATTCTTTGCCTTTTCCCATTCCCTGCCATTTCCCTTCAGTCCTCTCTTAATATGAAAGTAAAAGTGTTTAGATTATATTTCCAAGCTATAAAAAGTACACTTTTCTTTCCATTCCAGTGAGTCACAGTGATGTGGACTTCAAGTTTACAATGTACAGTGATATTGGCTTCATGATAGACTCAACATCACAGAAACTACAACTCAAAGACATTCCAAATAAGCTTCTAGCTGACCAACTTACTTACACAGATGCTGTGAGTACATAACATGCTTTTTGATTTCAACATAAAGGATAGATTTTAGTACTTCTTGTAATATTGCACAATGAGCATTTATGATGGACAATGCAAATTCAATTTTTTTGTTATATTATATTAACCATTTTAATAAAGGCACCTTTAATTTAAATAAATTGCGTGCTTGTTTAATTGAAATAAATAAGATGCATTGTGACATCACATAAGATAAGTCTCAATGCATATATAATTTAAATATTTCAGAAATTATTCAAGAAGGTTGTGCCCCACCATTGTTTAGGATCAGTGTGGGCATCTGGGCATAAACAGAAGGGTGAGGAGGCGCCATCTATTGTGGCCACAATCAAATTCTTTAATGCAGTCACATATAGAGTTATTGCAACCATACTAAAGAACCCAGATCTGAGGTCTAGTGAAAGAGCCAAAGTTATTATACAGTGGATAAGTGTAGCACAGGTATATACAAAATATTATATGATGAACAATCTTTTGAATTTTATTAACTCTGTGTAAATTGAATGAGTCATTATATGAATGTAGTTGAAAAACAAAAATACATATTTTTATTTTATTATATGATGTTATTTTGTTCCCATATTTACATATTAAGCAGGTATGATTCCCTTTTTTTCTTTCAAGATTGTATTTATTTTCATTTCTTGAAATCTATTTTTCAGGAACTAAGAGCACTAAAGAATTTTTCATCTCTCAAAGCAATCATATCAGGACTACAATCTAATGCTGTCTACAGACTGTGCAAGGTCTGGAGTCATATTCCCAAGTGAGTACATGTACTATATACATGTGAGTACATGTACTATATACATGTGAGTACATGTACTATATACATGTACATGTAGTCTACAGATTTCAAAGAAGAAATCTCATGATATGTTTCCAGTCTTTTTAAAGGAACTTAAGAATACAATGAATGGAGATAAATTGAGAATCGTTTTGAAAAATAACAGAAATGATTGTTTCGGACATTTTACAGAGTCTCTCTATACAATCCCTTTTTCCTTGAAGTAACTATATAACCTTATAAGTTGATTATAAGCTTGTGAAATCTCTCTTTCAATGGTAAAATCATAAGATTTTATGATATTGTAAGATGAGATTTCCTTTTTTTATCACATATATAATGAACAAGTATTTCTACTGTGTTTTAGGGAACATCTCAATGTATTTGAAGAGTTGTCCCTTATCTTCTCAGAAGAGAACAATCAACAATCAGCCAGAGAGCTACTTATGAAGGTAAAATTGCTACAAAATAAATATTACCATCTCCTATAAATCAAAGTATTCATTACATATACAAATCTTTAAGACATTTAATCTCACATTTCAAGTATCAAATTGTAAATCTTACTCAGTTCTATGTAAATTGAGTTTGTAAAAATGTAATTTCTATGTTCCTTTAGTTTAAAGGGATGGGTGTCTAAGCCCACTGAATTAGTCATGTGAAAAATAAACATTGATACTTGAATTTGGTTCTTAAACATGCTCAAATCTTATATTTTCAGGAAGGCACGGCCAAAACAGCTGCTAGACCCCAGGGTCACACCAGGAACAAGAGCTGGTCAAACTTCTCAAATCTCATCTCGAGAAGAAAGTCTATGGCAGACTATGTAAGTACATGTACAGTGAAACCGGTAAAGTGGATAGAGGAACACCTCTGTAAGTGGAACACTTTTCAGAGTCCCAAGGCCAACTGACTTGATGCTAAATGAACCTTTATAAGTTTAAGACCTCCCTAGTTGAACACCGATATTTTTGATTTTGAATTTTGTATTCACAACATGACTATGTGATACCCATATATGGAAAGAATATCGAGTGGTGTCCCTGGGAGCCAATCCTCCTTGCTCCAAAAGATATGTCTTGATTCATCATAATGACATGGATCACTCACACTGACACTCTCCGTACAGATGTCTTCATTATCTCCATTTCTATTAATGTATTTTTCAGAGTCACTATTCAGGTACAGTTCCATACCTAGGCACATTTCTAACAGATCTAACCATGCTAGATTCTGCTATCCCAACTACCACAGATGAGGGACTCATAAACTTTGAAAAGAATCGTAAAGAGTTTGAGATAATCGCCCAAATCAAATTGCTACAGTCTGCAGCCCAGATGTATCAGATAAAGGGTGATTCCAGCTTTCAGGGATGGTTTGATAGTGTCCGCACCTACGATGACAAAGAAAGGTGAGATTGGGAGTGTTATTCAGTGTGTAACTAACTATACAATTAATTGTCAAGTGTTTATACTTCATGCCACACTATTCTTTGCTAATTCTGTTCTTTGTCACTTTTCCAAGCTGTTTGAAAGTTATACATTTTTGATTTGATGTGGATTCATTTTCCATTTTCAAAATATACTCATACTTGGTATATGTATATGCCTTGTTCAGCTTGAAGTATATTATATGTAATGATCTTGAAACATGAAGATAGGAAATTAAATTTTTTTAATTTGAGCTGATATGCTCATGATATCATATTAGACAAACCACAATTCAACGACTATTTTCCCATTCCTTGTAGCTATGAGTTGAGTCTAGCCATTGAACCACTAGAGGATTTCTCACCCAAGACTCCAAAAGGACATAAGAAGAAAAGCAGGTTTGTATTCATATATATAATACTCCCCGGCCCTGTTTTTGAGAAAGGACACAAATCATATTGCACATAAACAATCTGGGGACAGCTGGCAGTTGGATTCGTGAATGCTACCATATAAGTTAGATTTCAAACCTTGGACAATAAAAGTACATTAATGTTACATAGATGGAAGCACCTCCAAGAGTCATTTTTAGGTCATAAAGAAGATAAGTGTATTCTTGTGTTTTGTTTGCATCAATGTGGTAATGTGACGGTTGTCAAGCTAAAATACATTGTTTACCAGTATATAATAAGAGGATGTCTTTGTTAATTTGGCCATTTAATCATTACCTATTCTGGCACAAGCACTTAACATCAATCCATGTGTTAATTCTAGCATAAGTGGGATTAGTTTCACATCTCTGGAGGGTTCTAGTCCGAGTGCAACGAGCGTTAGTGCCAGTATAGATGGCAGCACTTCCTCTGCAGATGGGACTCTTCCGTCTCCTAGCCTACAAGTTCCACGGAAACAGGTATGTAGGGCTGTATATTTAAAACCCTTGTTAAAAAGAACACCAGTTCTATGAGGTAAATAAAAAGTACCAAAGAATCAGTGACTCAGAAGTTTAATTCAGTGATATAATTAACTGGATATGCCATATCATGGTTCATTTTTGTGGTTTCACTGAAAAAAAATACCAAAATAAGATGTCGTATTGTCATGAAATGATAAACTTTGAACTGGACAGGATTTCTGTGACAAAGTAAAACTTTTCATAATAACTCACTTGGTGTTTTTTTTATGAGAAGACTATTATTGCATTGAAATTGTGATGTTTCAACTTTAGCATCTTATACCAAACTTCATGTATTTATTCTTGCAACCAATTATGCAGCTGGAGAGGAGTCAAAGTTTACATTGCTATAGCAACGCCCTCTCCCCCTCTGATTTATTCAATATCAGGATGAGGGTATGTACATCGGGGGGAACAATACCAAACTTTAATCCTGGTAGTTTAGGTTCACTGTACTGGCCTTTTTTGTTTCCCATTTTTTTGAGGCATAGAGGATTTTGGGATTTTTTTAAAGATTTTTTTTTGGTTTTTGGATATTATTTTTTATACCTCTATTTTATTTGGTGTATAAGATATTCAATTATAGTAAAATTCGTGATTTAGGAGCAGTTCGTGTTAAAGTTGGTATTGGCTTTAATTTTTTATTTCATGCAAAAAATTTTCTCACAAATATTTTTAATCCTATTTATTATTCGGTTTTCATCGAATTTTTGTGGGTAGTATGGGCAGAATCAAGGCTAATAAAATAACCCATATTTTTAATGTGGCTGACACATAAGTTGCTAATATTTCAGAGGTTAGCTCAAAGGAGTATGAGCACTCCTGCCACGTGGCACAAGGTGAGATGATGCAGGATGGGGGTCTCTCCCTATGGGGGATCACACAGGGTATACCCTCAGGGGAGGCTCATTAACCCATAATACTGGATAATTGAAATACTCTTTAATATCTAATTAACTTGCAACAGAAATCTAATCTCTAGAAACAAAATACACTAAAATATAATTCGCCTTACAAACATGTATACTCTTTTGGTAAAAATGTCATGAGTAATAGTTGGATTTCAAGAATCAAATTCCAATGGGACTGTCTTAAGTGAACCTCCTTGCTGAAATATTAGTGATTCTAGCCACAGGAAGACATTGAGATTAACATCAGGAACTCTAGTTTAAGGTCAGGGTGCATGATGGGAAATTTTCTGCATTCCTCAATTGAGTCACATGTTATTTTTCAAACAAGAATCACTCCTTCCCTTCATTGTCTATATCTTCCAGTTTTGCACAAAGAGTGCACTTCTGTGTCTAGAAAAGACTTGTGAGAAGAATGTTTTGATAAAGTGTATAAAAAACAAGAAAATTCAGTGAAAAAAATCAGAAAATTTTCAGAAATTTTTTTCACTGAATTTTCTCATTTTTTATACATTTTACAAAACAAACCTTCTCACAAGGCTTTTCTAGGCACAGAAGTGCACTCTTTGTGCAAACTTAGAAGATGTAGACAATGTGGGGAAGGAGTTATTCATGTTTGAAAAATAACATGTGACTCAATTGAGGAATGCAGAAAATTTCCCAACATGCACCCTGTCCTTAACCAATACATATTGCTATAAAAGTATCGATTTTTAGCTTTATAAAATCTAATATATACAATTGATAATCATCTAATAATAATTAAGATATACTTTTGTTACACATTCTGTTGTTCTTAAAGCACATTTACCCATTTTGCACCATCTAATTGAAATAGATGAGTTCTCTTGCGTGCAAATGGGCTAAAATAAAAACACTCATTTTGACTTCTCATAATTTGCTACATTACTCACATGCTAGTCCACATAACTCACCTGAGGAGCCCATCGATAGTTCAAGATCTACTTGGAAACTAGTTACAGTAAGTTAGTGGGTGGGTGTTCAATTCGATTAAGATCTTCTTACAAAAATAAACTTTTTCAAGAAATATTTCCCAAGCTCCCCAGACCCCTAGATCTAGATGTTTGCCATATAGATTGATAATTATTATCTGTACCATTGTCAGAGTTTAACAAATCAAGTTTTGAATGTGGGTTGACACTTGAGAGAAATATGAGTCAGGGGCATATGTTTCTGGACAGGCATTGAACTGTTGATGCGTTACTTCTCAATTCTGCTAGACTGAGTTACACAATGGTTGTAGAATATTTTGGGGTTTTCTTTGGTTTTGTTATAGATAAACATGTTATTATTATTAATATGTATATGTAATAAGTACAACATGTATGTGATTAAAAGCCATTTATAGTTTTTTTTGTAAATTATGAAGAATATCCTCTAGAAATAAACAAGTATGTTTGAATACTTGACTAATTTGAGTATAAAACTGTTTTTGAGTTTGATTATTTTTTTGTTTTAAAAGTATGGTCTATGTTGCTACACTGCACCAGGAATGTAATGGGACAATTCTTGTTTTGCTCTCCATAATTCTGTCATTATGTGCTGTATACCTTTTTAACAAGATCAAATATGAGATGTACAAACATGCATGTATTCCATTCAAAGATGCACTGTAGATTCAAATTGTAATACAGTATAATTCTATGCTCAGGCATATTTGCAGCTTATGATGTACATCAGAGTCTTTCAAAAACAAACAACCATTTCTTGTGACTTAATTTGGATGAACATGTACTTTCCAGCTTCCCCATGCTGCTTCCTCACACTCTCTGAAGTCCCTGGAGCCAACTGAAAACTGGACATTCAAGTCTTCAGAGGGCTGTGTCATTAGAGTCAGTCTGGACACAGCAGACAATCACTGGACTAACATATATAAAAGTGTACTGGTATGTAGTACATGTACAAGTTAAGATTGGACACTCAAATATTTGGTGACCTTCAGACATACCATGGTTTGCCATTCCATCCATAGACCTAAGGAACTTATAAGATAGAATGATATCCATTATAAGTTGGTCATATGACAGTTTCAATGAGTACATCAATTATTTTTACTGTGTCCTAAATATGACTGTAATATGTTATCTTATTCCATAGTTAGCATGATATTCATAGGATAACATGTGAAAATAAAAACGGTATTTTGTAATCAGTGGTAAAATATGATATTTTTGACAAATTTTCACTTAACCATAGCATACAGTTTTTTTGCCATGACATGCGGCGCCGTATGCTATGAATTATGGATTTTTGCTACTTCAGACTCAAAACTAGGCTAAGTGTCAACATCGCCGGATCGTTTGGAAAATTCGAATTAAATCACTTAATTTCCGACGATTCTGATGATGACTTTAACTATGGAATAAAAAGAACATCCTCTATATAGACTATGATATTGTCCTTTAAGGTGTCCATGACCTGACATGAAATTTGACCTTGACACATGATTCTTGACATTGAATTCCAAATTTTGAACATTTGTACAATTACTGAATTTGGCAACCCATGGTTTAACACATCCTCCGATCACAGGGCTTCAAAATCCAGAATATCTTCTTTCTTTTTACCCCCTGCTATAACCAAGTTGGACGCGCCCGATTAAACTAAATCACGTGATCTTATTATGCGCCGATGACGTATACATGATTTCTGTCGCAGTGTTGCGACAGCCAATCAAATTGCGAGTTCTTAATCGGGAAAATGCTAACTGCTTATAGCAGGGGGAAGAAGGAGGTACGGATTCTGGACACCTGCTTAGGAGGATGGGTTTAACAAGGTCTACGATAGAGAAATTTGCATCAGTATCACCCAGAAAATGGATGGACAGACAGATCACTATTATAATCTATACTTGATAAATTGATAGTTACATTGTATTCAAAGATTTGGAATTCTGTTTATCTCAAATGTTATCTAGTGTACACTTGTAAAAGTACATATATAGTAAATGAAAAAAAAATTTGTAAACACATATACAGTATGTACACATACACATATGTCACATATACATGCATATATTTTTTTACTTTGTTGCAGCTAAGCAATAATGACAGGTCCCCAACAGTGATACAGGCTGTCCTGAACAAATATAATCTTTCAGAAAATAAGGAGGATTACTGTATGTCCCAAATATTACCTGATGGAGGTAAGTGTGTTTTGCCTTTTGTTTTTAAGAAATGAATCAACTTCGTAGTTATGAAAATAATGAAAAGCAATTAAAAGCACTCTGTATTTAATGTTTGATTTGTACCTTTGTGCCATTTAAAACTATTCCTCCAATTTAGAATTTATGATTCTAGATAATAATGCAAATGTATCCTATGCTTCAGAACTTCTGATTCCAGATAATGCAATGTGCTCTATGTTTCAGAACTGCTGATTCTAGATAATGCAAATGTGCTCTATGTTTCAGAACTGCTGATTACAGATAATGCAAATGTGCTCTATGTTTCAGAACTGCTGATTCCAGATAATGCAAATGTGCTCTATGTTTCAGAACTGCTGATTACAGATAATGCAAATGTGCTCTATGTTTCAGAACTGCTGATTCTAGATAATGCAAATGTGCTCTATGTTTCAGAACTGCTGATTCCAGATAATGCAAATGTGCTCTATGTTTCAGAACTGCTGATTCCAGATAATGCAAATGTGCTCTATGTTTCAGAACTGCTGATTCTAGATAATGCAAATGTGCTCTATGTTTCAGAACTGCTGATTCCAGATAATGCAAATGTGTTCTATGCAATGAACAGTGTGGCAGACCCGAACTTTGTAGTGCGCCGAAAACACGATCAAAGAACGTTAAAACTGAAAAAATCTCGGAAAGGTGCAGCTAAAAAACTCTTAGGGAGTTTGAATACAACTTTATGAGGGTTGTCAATTTAATGATGGCATAGAACCCGTCAATGCATAAGCTATTCAAGTAAGCCTTAGAGAAAGCTTCAAATGGAATCTTTTGTGATCTGCCAAAAGCAATATAAGATGAAATGCAACAGATACAAAGTTATGCAGTCTGCAGGCAACACAAAATGTATTTTTGGATAACCAGTTATGAGAGCAATACACCCTCTATGGTGTAGATATAGGCGGATAAAGGAAAACTTTTTATGATAAAAGGCAGTATGTAATAGGAGCATTTCTAAACTTACCCTTTGCATTCGTTTGACTTCACTTCTTAAAAGAGAGCTTCGTCTTCACTCTTTCAAACTAAAATAAACCTGTGAACTCACCGCGCCAATCAGTGTTCGTCGGCCAAATTTGACCGACGTTCTTTATATGGTCATTCCTTCTTACGTCATCGTTGAGCCCGGAATTGACCAATGACATGCGCATATTTAATTAGAACGCATTTGGCGCATGTTTCTTCAAGCTCGCTGATTGGTGGAAGGTCAGTGCGTAGGTCAAAAGTGATTTACCCAAACTGTCACCGGTACCAGTCGTGGGGGCGGGGCTACTTAACTGTAATATGGTCTCTAGTAGGCAGAGTGTAGTTTAACTAGACTCTGCAAGCAGGGTATTCTAAACTATGACTACTCCAGAATGTTAGTTTTTAAAAGTTAATATAGTGCAGTAATTTTCTCAAGGCCACCTAAGAGTGCAACCATCTGATAGACACATATACAGTTCATTGCAAAACAAAAGCAATATTTACTTAAGAGGATCAAATTAATACTCGTGAGGAGCAAGGGAATACAAAAGAGGGACAGAAGGTGACCAATGATTTATTCTCACAATATGCTTAAAACACATGACATTGGACTAGGAGAGGATATGTGGTATATCTACTGGATTTTCTCATATTTAGAGGCCCTTGGTCTACTAACCAGGCATTTATTTAAAGATCAAATATTCCACGCCCAAAAGATTTGAATGTAAACCATTTGTGAACACACCTGTTGACCACTGCATCAAAAGCCCTTTGGATATATTTTGAAAGTAATTTCAATAAATTGTCCATGGGCTATAAAATGAAGGGGGCGTACTATGGTTGAATTCAGTTGATGTTCTGTCCACTCTTATACAGGGTGTTCCAAAAGTAACAGGACTGGTGCTGGCATTTTGTTAAATATGCACCAATCGTCTTCAAAATTTTACATAATCTACTTTCATGTATCGTGACTAAGACTGCAAAGTTTCTACAAAATATATGAAACTCGGGTAGAGTTATGGTTGCTATAGTAACTTGACATCACAATACCTGGGGCAACATTCCACGCAAAAAGTTACAAAGACATTAAGCATTTTGTACATGCCATATCATTTTGTACATGCCATATCAAAGTTGATATGCAACAACTGGTGGGAATTACATTTGTTTTACATCATTTGATATTCCTATGTATCCTCTACTTTAAAAAATAGGCTCCTCTTTGGTCAGTACAAGAGTAGTACTCTGTATCCATGACCCAAACACATGAGTGAACCCATTTGAGGACATGTCACGCAGGTCGATTAGACAATTTGGAGAAAGTCATACTCATCTTTAAAGGTCTTACAGCACTGATTAGCATTCCGTTCTCAATATAAGTAAAAATTAGATATTGCATGATTAGAGGAATATGGTGCATGGTTTTAGACCTCAAGACCTAGCTCCTCTATAGCTGCATGGTCTTTAATGCCAACCTGCGGGCAGGCGCGCTATCAAGGTAGATGACTGGCTTCAAATTGGGTATTTTCAAAAACTCAACCGCGGATTGTTCAGACTGTTATACATAGTGATATTCCAGGAAATTGAATAAATGTTATTATCATTATGAGTTATACTTGAATCTGAGTTGTATAGCAACACGTTTACAACAAAGGAACTAATAAAATAAACAATAAATGTTGTATTATAATAGGTGAATTAGATACTTTCTTCGGTAATACAAAAATGTTAGATATCACATTTTCAGGAAAAAAGTTGCCCCGGGTATTGGAATGTCATGTTACTATAGTAACCATAACTCTAGCTGCATTTCATCATTTTTTCTGAAACTTTAGAATTTAAGTTGCAATACTTCAAAGTACAAAGCAAAATTGACAAAATGCCAGCACCAGTCCTGTTACTTTTGGAACACCCTGTATAACAATTGTCATGTATCCTCGATAATTATTCTCCGAATATCTGAATGGGAATATCAACTTTGAGAACTATGTGTCCTTCACTGTGCAGTTTGAATTTGGAGAAAACATGAAAGTATAAATGGGAGAGATTAAGTAGCTTATGATTAACTATGGTCAAAATTAATGTGTTTATTCAATATATCACTTGAAATTATGGTCAATTGATATACCATGTTAAAGGTCAAGTAAACAGGAGTACCATAGTTTTGAGGCATTAATCTCTTACTGTTAATAACATGTGTAATCAGTCTTCTGAACATTCACAAAAAACATTGGCCAAGTAGGTAATTGGCCTGATTCAATTTGTGCAATGTTATGTGGCATTGTACAAACAGTGAAACCCTTTAAGTTAACACCTAGAATTGGAACACCTCTGTTAGTGGAACACTTCTCAGAGTCTTAAGACTAACTCAATATTAAATGAACCTCTATAAGTGGAACACCTCCCTAATGGAACACCTTTTAGAGGTACCAAAGGTATTTCACTTTAACAGGTTTTACTGTATGTTCCAATATATACATGTATGGTCTAAGATCTAGATTGGTAGTAGTATGGTCTAGTATGGTCTAGATCTCTTGTAAAAGATTAGTAGATTAGTTATGTAGATTGTTGAAAATTGGCACATTTACTTGTTATTGATCACTTTGTAGTTTTGGTGTAAGGGAGTCAGGATTATCATGCTTAGCTAAATGAATGAGTAAAGCATCCAGTCCAAAAACACAGGCCTACAAGAACTAGGATGACATCTACCTTATTTTTTATGCAGAAGTAACTGATGCCAATTTCTTTTAAGTTTTGTGTTGGGAACATATTGGAACAAGTGCAATCCTAGTATGAGGTGTCTGCATTGCCCTCTCCTATATTGCATAGAAAGAGCAATAGGGGAGGTTTGGTATACAAGAAGTAACACTAATTTGGCCCATATTATATGTTATATTTTATTTCCAGTGAACAATCAATGTTTAGGTTACCATAGTAACCAGAAATATATTATATTTATGCAAACAATATTATAAAGGCCTACAATATACAAGTTTACAATTCATTGGCTTACAATAAAATAGACATGATAATCTTGATCAAAATACATGATAGATAAAAGTTTGTTAATATTTTAGTAGTTGAGTGGTAGTTTTAGATGCTGTTTTAATACTTCTATAAAATGTGAGTTTTGTCACAGGCCAGTTTTACAGAAAGAAGAAAATATTTTCTGTACATACTTCTACTCCAGACTTGTCTACTATTGTATATTTGAAGCTGTATTAAGTTATTTTTTGTCTGCGATTATTGTATTGATCCCATGTGCATTGATTGTTTATATGTGCAAGCATTGCACATTCATTGTTCATGTTTGCAAGTATTGTTCATGTTTGCAAGTATTGTTCATATGTGCAGTTAATGTTCAAGCGTGCAATCATTGTTCATATGTGCAAGTATTGTTCACCTGCAAGCATTGTTCATATGTGCAGTTACTGTTCAAGTGGGCAATCATGGTTCATATGTTCAAGTATTGTTCGTATGTGCAGTTACTGTACAGGTGTGCAATCATTGCTCAAATGTGCAGTCACTCCGAGTACATGTGTGCAATTATTGTTCAAGTGTGAAAATCATTGGATGTCACGCTATTCATTTTTGTAGTCATTTTTCATGTTGGCACTTATTTTTCATATATGCAATCACTCTTGGCATGAACAGTCATCTTTTAAATATGGAAAATAATGTTGTGGAAATATCTCTAATCATCTTCACATTTTTTGTAAATTATAAAAAATAGTAAGGGTCTTATAAGAACCCTGTAAACCATGCTAAGAAATTGAAGAATCATTTATCATGCAATTCTCAAATTGATAATAATCTCTGATTGACTTATAGTTGCATTATGTTATATTGTAAGCTTCCTGTTGTATATATGCCTATTTATATCGTGACCTACATGTATGACATGTTATATCATGACTTTCATGTATGGCATGTGTATCATGACTTACATACCATGTTATTATCCCATCGAACGAAGTTCGGAGGGATATAGGGAACGCCTCCGTCCGTCCGTCCGTCCGTCCGTCCGTCCGTCCGTACGTCCGTACGTCCGTACGTACGTCCGTCCGTCCGGGCAATAACTCAAATACCGTTGGCCCGATTTTGTTCATATTTTGTACCCATATACCCTATGGGGGTAGAAGTTCTGCTCGAAAGCCGATTTTCAAAATGGCCGCTCATTTCAAAATGGCGGCCATTTTAGTGATGATTTTACAGTAATTTAGGTGCAATATGTAAAACTGTAATAGCAATATGTTTTAAATGTAAAAAAATTATAAAGGACATTAATAATGCTACAAATGTAGACATTAAAGAAGCACATGGCAGCCATCTTGAAAAATGGCGGCCTTTACTCGTCATTTTACGATTTTTGCTGTAACTCAAAAAGTAGTGGAGCGATTTTGTTCATATTTGGTATGTGAATACTATAAGCATTGCACACTGTCTAAAGACACTTTTGGTAGAAGGCGGCCATTTTGAAAAATGGCCGCCATTTTAACGTATTTTATTATAACTCGAAAAGTAGTGGAGCGATTTTGTTCATATTTGGTATGTGAATACTATAAGCATGGCACACTGTCCTATGACACTTTTGGTAGAAGGCGGCCATTTTGAAAAAAAATTTGAAAAATGGCCGCCATTTTAACATTTTTTACTATAACTTGAAAAGTAGCGGAGCGATTTTGTTCATATTTGGTATGTGAATACTATAAGCACGGCACACTGTCCTATGACACTTTTGGTAGAAGGCGGCAATTTTGAAAACAATTTAAAAAAATGGCCGCCATTTTAACGTATTTAACTATAACTCGAAAAGTAGTGGAGCGATTTTGTTCATATTTGATATGTGAATACTTTAAGCATGGCACATTGTCTAATAAAACTTTAGAGAGTAGTCGGCCATTTTGAAACATGGCCACCATTTTTATGTGTGTTATTTTACAAGTACGTGTGCGATTTTACAAGAGGTGGCTACTTAAAAGCATATTATTTCTTCTG